TGAAGGGCTGTGCCTTGTATAAGGACCAATTGGAGGTATTTCATAAATGTCCTACAAGAAAACTGTAGCTGGCAATGTCCTGGGGAAAAGGCTGGTAAAACTGCAACAGCAGTGAACTGGAATCTGGGTTCTATTTCCACATCTGCTGCTCACTTGACTGGGACCTGGTGCAAGTCACCTCACCTATCTGGGGTTTAATTACCTCTTCTGCAAAATGAAAGGATTGGGGTAGATGATCTCTTTAAGTCCTTTCCAGTTCCAACATTCTATGAGTTAATATTTTTGAATTCTCTTTGGTGTAGTTTTTATACATAGGTGCTCAATAAATATTTGTTAAGTGAATGCTAACCCTTAGTCATTTTTCCCCAAATAGATTAATAATTAATAGTAACTAAAGTTAGACACCTTTAAAAAATCTCTCCTTGAGACAACCACCCACCAACTAAACTTGGAAATCTGAAAGAGCACAACAAAAGAAAGCACAGTAAATTTCTAGCATTGAAAGGGTCATATTTTTTCTGATGTTATAATGGTAGTACTTGAGGATGAATGGTAAGAATAAGAATAGGAACTGGATCTACCATTTCATTAGAATAGAGAACTTTCTGTGAAGGAACTCTTAGCAGTGCAGATTGTTACTTTCTCAGCAATTAATACTCTTAAAGTTGCCAGGAGCTTTTCAGGGGTAGAGTGATTTGTCCATGGTCATATGATCAGAGCTGGGAATTGAACTCCGGTCTTCCTGGAACCAACGCCAACTCTGTGGTAAGCCGCAATGGTTCTCAATCTTAAGAAGGGTGATAAAATAATTTATCATCAATAATTATTAACTTCCTACCCTAATTCTGCTAGACTAGGACAGGCATATAGAAACTAAATATAAATGAAGGTTTATTTATCTTTTAAACCCACAACTTTTTGATCAAAAATTACAACTCTTGGGGGCACCTAGATGGCTCAGTGGATAAAGCTCCAGCCTTGGAGTCAGGAGGACTTGAGTTCAAATTTCAACTCAGACACCTGACACGTACTAGCTGTGTGACCTTGGGCAAGTCACTTAACCCCAATTGCCTCACCAAAAACAAAACAAACAAACAAACAAACAAAAAAACTACAACTCTGGATCATTTGGCCCAAATCTTAACTGGGTCATTGAAAAGGTGGTATTTTTTTTTTCTTCCAAAGGGATCTATAGGTCTTTAAAATTTGGGGGAAAATTAAATATTTGAAAATAAAATTTAACTACTTTACCAAGCTGATTGCAGCAAATAAAATATCTTGATTAAAAAAAACCAAACAAACCAATTACAGACCTTTTAAGGGAAAACACATTAACAGAAGTCAAGAGAATAGACAAATTTGAAATGCATCTGTTACCTATTATCCAAAATTTAAATGCCAAAGTACCTTTTAATATTCAAACTTAATTGAAATAAACGTTATACTTCAAATGTTACATAATGAATATTGTATGAAATAATATATGCCAACCCTGTAAGAAGCCGACTAACTAATTCATCCAAATTAAATGTAACTCCGGAATGGTCATTTTAAAGTCTCTGTTTTACTTTTTAAATACGATATGCACTCTAAGTGATTTATAATAAAACATAGTTTCAGATTAAGAGGCTGATACCTAACCTATAAGCTGAAAGAGAACTTCAACATTATATTCTGCTCTGTCCTTTTTTTGAAATATACTTGAAAATGTTCAAAATCTGTGGTATTTTGTAATAAAGAGTTCAGACGGCTCCGTGCTCATTGCAGTTATCTTTGAGAGGTTTGTAAATATAAATGCTAGCTGTTTTGCAATTCAAAATCCCTACCATGCTTTACTGGATTATCTCAGTGGCACTTTTTATTACTGAATGCTGATGCCATTATAAAACAATAAATTCCAACCACTGTATTTACAATGCCATAACATTCCATTTATTTTATAACTGCTGTACTCATACTTCCGTATGCTAGATTACTGACTTTCAGGGTAACGGAAAAATGCAGACATACGTATCTTCTACCTAAAGAAGCACTTCCTTAATGCCCGGACAAGATAATATTAAATAGTAATGATACTATGTCAGTCATAACAAAGATCTTTTTTTTTTCCATCCACAATTGCTTCCTATGTAGTCTGCCCATTTATTGTCATTTTATACTTCTGAGCTACATTCAGCTTAGTGGGTGTGTGTACACGTATAATAGACATAGGAATTGCAAGTCTACCAGTAACCTTCATTCCTTCCCATCCCTTTCTCCGCCACTTCATTTTTATTCTTTTTGCCCTTTGCTTTGGGATGGGAAGGAGAAAATGACCAAAAAAAAAAAAAAATCCCTAAGCAAGCAAAATAAAAACAACAACAACAACAACACTGGTGGGGCTTCATAAATGGAGCGAATGCCAAGGCTGAAACCACGACCAGGAAATGCTCACAGGAAAATAATTTATTTGCATCGATGATGAATAAATTACAGCACAGTGCATTAGTAACATACGTGAGGAGACAAGTCAGCTCCTCCATCTCGGTTACCTCGGGGGATCCCAGCCCAGGGGAAATTGGGGTGAGGGGGGGTGGGAAGGATACTGCAGCCTGACTTTCCCAGTCCGCTACCGAACAAGAAGCCGCAAGAGCAAAGGGCCGGACGATTAGCGAGAGCCCGCGGGGCGCCCAGAGCCTAACTGGGGGCAGTCTCTCGGAGGCAGCCCGGGGCAGGGTCTAAGCTGCGCCGGGCACTGGCCAGGACTCCCACGACAGGGCTGGGTATAGCCGCGGAGTGTCGGCCCAAACGAACCCCACCCCGAGGTGGTGGTGGCCGAAAATAGCCGGCGGTTTGCCAGAACCGTTTATCCTCCGACCCCGGTCAAGAGACGAAATCGATCCCCGCGAGCTTCGGCCAGGCACGAGCACCTGCCCGGGACACCCACCTTAACAGAGACCGACTCCACTCACCTCATCCCACGCAGGCGCATAAATTAAAGAACCCCACCCCACTCTCCCCCACCCTACTCCTCTAGCTTTCTCCACCTCGGACAGTAGGAGGGGCCAAGAAAGAGCCCAGGAAAGGGGCGTGACCAGCCAGCTACCAAATCCTTTCCTCAGTAGCCGTCGGCTCCTTGCTGCGCACGCGCCTTCGGAACTTACAGCTACGTGCCCAGACCACGTGACGCCCACCCCGACGGGCCCCCAGCGAAGCAAGGGGAGTGTTTCTTTTTGGAGAAACGAGTTTTTATTTTTTTTTTTTAAGTACAATAAAAACAGGACGCCGACCAGCGAGCTCGCGCACGCGCTCAGCGAGGCTGGGGGGGCGGGGCGACGACGCTAGCGCGGCAGGTTCCGCAGGAAATTCCTCCGTCGGAGTGCACGAGACGCCCCCCTGCACTACGCGACCACAAAGGTCTACGCTCGCAAGTCCCCGGTGACCACAAATAGCTTAACGCGCGCGCGCGAGGCTGAGAGCGCGCCAAAGGCTAGCAGGCAGGCCGGCGGGCTGGGACGAGTGGCAACTGTGAGACGTGGGAGCCGCGTGGAGAAAGGGCACTCACAAATAAATGCGAGGAGCCTATGAGATGCAGACAAATGCCACCGCCTGTACCAGATCGCGCCCCCCCCAGCCCCCGTGTACTCTGCACAGCGTGAAAACACATAGCTTCTTACTCCTACGTACACATATTCCCCTCTGCCATTCATGCCAGGCGCAGGAGTGGGCCCAGTCCACAGCGGCCTCGAGGGAGAGCTTCGGCACTCCCCGACAGGGAGCTAGACAAACTGGGACAGCCGAGGCGGCCCCGGCACCTCTCTTCGTTTCTTCGTTGGGAAACACCCCGCTTCACAGCACACAGCTACGTAGCTCTTCCACCCAATCTGCACTCCCCCCCCCCAGCCCCAGTCTTTCTCAACCATCCCCGCGTGGAGGAAGGGGGGGAAGCAGCGAGGCTTGCGTGTGAGGGGGAACCCCGCCTCCCCCTCCCGAGTTCCGCGCCTCGCGCTCGGACCCCCGAGCTCGGCTTCGGCGGGGCTGCGCCCGCGTGCCCTTCCCTCTCCCCTTCTTTCTTTCCTTCCTTCCCTCCCTCCCTCTCCCCAATCCCCTTCCCACCCCAAATTCCTCTTTTTCTACCCCCTCGTCCCACCCCACCTCATCCCCCGGGGGAGAGGGAGGCGCCGAAAACAACTCCAAGGCCCGGAATAGAGAGGGCAGAAAGGGGTGAGCGGGAGGGCGAGAGGGAAGGGAGGAGCGGGTGCGTGAGGGTGTGGGGAAGACACCGACCGAGTCTCGGATTAACGGCCGCTTTCCCCTTCCTCCCCTTCGCCCCGCCCCGCCTGGGTCTCCTCGCTGTACCCCCTCCCTTTCCTCCCCCTCCCCTCGAGTGTCTCTCTCTTTCTCTCCCCTCCCTTTCCTCCTCCCCCTCCCCTCCCCTTCCTCTCTACCCTCCCCCTGCCGTCGCCGCCGCCGCCGCTGCTGCCGCCGCTGCTGGCAGCGCCGCCTGAACTGAAGCGAACTCCACAGCCAAGTGAGTGAGGAGGAGGAAGAGGAGGAGAAGGAGGAGGAGGAGGAGGAGGAGGAGGAAGGGGAGGAGGAGGAGGAGCGGGAGAGTCAGTGCGCGGCGGCAGCAGCGGCAGAGGCGGCAGCGTCGGGGACCAGCCCAGAGAGACCCCGAGCCCGCGGCAGAGGCGGCGGCGGCGGAGCAGGCAGCAGCAGCCTGAGAGAAGCCAAACGAGCAGCCCCAGCAGCAGCGGCAGCAGCAACCACAACCCCGGCGGCGGCGGCTCCTCCTCCTCCTCCCAGCGAAAGCGGTTCCCCCAGCGCCCAGAGCGGGGCCCCGCGGAGATAACCCCTCCTCCCCCCTCCCCACCCCGCCGGCACTCGTGAGGGGACGGGCTGAGCTGGGCAGCGGAGGCAGCACCGGGAGCGGCGAGCGGCGGGAGGAGGAGGAGGAGGAGGACGAGGACAAGGCGGCGGGAGCATAGGCGGCGGCGGGAGCGGCGGCTCCGGGACCCACGTTGTGGGAGCAGCGGCCGCGGGAGGGAAAAGTGCCTGCGGGGGGTGGGGGGGGCAGAGCGGGCGGTTCGATTTCCTGCGCTGTGGGGACAGTCGGCTTCCCCCCCTGCCCCCCCGTCTCCTCCTCCTCCTCCTCTTCCTCCCGTCCCCTTCCTTCCCCGCTGCGGGCGAAGATTGCAGACCCTCCCGGAGCAGCCCCCGGCTTCTTGGGGCTCGCCCCCCCGCCCCCTGTGCCCCCCTTTTCTTCCGTGGCGGCGGGCGGTGTGAGCTGCGGGGCTTGGAATATGGTCGGGGAAATGGAAACGAAGGAGAAGCCCAAGCCGACCCCAGATTACCTGATGCAGCTGATGAACGACAAGAAGCTCATGAGCAGCCTGCCCAACTTCTGTGGGATCTTCAACCACCTCGAGCGGCTGCTGGACGAAGGTAAAAGGCTCCCCCCGCCTCCCCCCCCAGCCTGGTTCCCCGTTTTTGCCTCGGCGGCACCGCCGCCTCTTCCTGAGCCCCCCGGGGCTGGGGGGCGACTTGGGGAGAGCACGGCGTCCCGAGGGCGGACGGCGGCGGGTCGAGGCCCAGGTCCTGTTTGCCCCAGGGGGCTTGGCCCGAGCGGCTTCGAAGCTCCGGGAAAGTCTGGGGGGCACTTGGGAGGGCGGGGCCCTTGGAGAGCCGGGCGATGGGGCCGGGGTCCTGGGCTAGTGCGGGGCCTGACGAAGGGCAGCCCTGCCTGGAGGTTGTGTTCGGGAAGCTCCTGGGGAGCTGTGGAAAACTTGGTTTGGAGGACCGAGGGGCCGGGGCCCTGTCCGGCCGCTCCCCATCTTTTTCCAGTCAGTCAACCCCCAGTTTTTTGTTTTTCAATCCCTCTAGTTGCTTTGGGGAAGGGAAAGCGGCAGCAGGAGGACCGACCCCGTCCCGATCCCCCGCTTCCCCCCTCCCCCCGCCGCCCTTGCGGCTTGGAGTCTGATTTTTAGAAAAATGGGAAAACCGAGAGGGTAGTGGCGGCGTGCCTTTAAAGCCGGAGCCTTTTACCCAGTGAAGTGGCCTCTCCGGAGCCCGGCGCCGGACCCCCGGACCGCGGGGGGAAGGGGGCGCGGGGCCCCGCGTGTCTCCTGGTGTCCCTTCTGCCGCCGAGCCCTTTCCCTCTCTTCCGAAAGGGAAGTTTGACCTAACCTTTTCGAAACAGATCCTGCCCGTTACTACCCATGCCTTGCTCTGCCTGGTGGAATTCCTGGCAGATTAGGGCGGAATTCAGTTTAAAGTCTGTAGAGCTTGCAAATGTTCCACGAGAAGTTACCAAGTGGCGTTTCTTTGTTTATACTTAGACAGAAATGCCACCGGAGAGGTGCTAATTTGACTGAAGGGGGGGGAGGACAAAATGACAACTGAGCATTTTGTCCTTTTTGATTTGAGGAAACGAAAACCATTCGAGTTTAACTTCACTTTTTGGGGAGGGGAAAGTCAAATGAGAGGTGAAAATAATGTGCCTGAAGGCGTTGTCGTGCTGGATAGAGGAGGGGGTTCTGGAAAGGAAGCAGCAGGCAGTTTGGGGGACCGAGGTTGAGAGCAGAAGCTATAGTTAGGGATCCAAAGAACGGCTCTGGCCAACCCAAGTTTGGAGCTTTGATTTCTCTTGTGGAGTTTTATGGACGCGGTGAAAGAAGATGGTTGTTGGATGCTTTATGGAAATTGAGTAGCAAAGAGATTGGTGATTAAGAAAATTTACCGGTTGTTTAAAGAGAACAAAATTAAGGATAATAAAGATGAACATTGGATTTTTAAAGTTTCAGAAACATCTCGAGTTTATTTAAATTTATATAAAGTATCCTACTGAGGAGTATGGGAGTGGGAGGAAACCCAGTCAGTTTTGAGTGTCACTAAAGAACAAAAGACCGGAAATGTCCCTTGTGATAAAAAATGGGTAAAGAAGAATCTGAAAGGCCTTTGTAGTCCTGGAAATCACGGAACTACTAGCAATATTTAAACGCATTATAATGACTGAGATTTTTTTTTTGTTTAAATTTGTTTTTTAAAAACAGACATTCAAATTGGCTTTTTCCACTCTAAATAGAATCATCTAACCTGTGAGTGTTTAGAAGTACCGGAAAAGTTAAACTGTCCCTTTAAGTATTTCTGCTTTTTCCTATTTGTGTTGGCAGTTGAGTGGAAGAATTGTGGAGGCAGAAAACTTTCTGGAATGTCCAAAAAAAAAAAAAGTTTCAGAACTCTTAAGTTGAGTCTTTCCCAATGTGAGCACTAAGGGGCGCTAGTTATTTTTTTCTTGAGGAATGTTAGCTTGCAGAATTGATAAGATTTCCCATAATCTTTGTTCTAAATTGATTTGTTGAAATTTTGAAAATCCTATCCACTATGCATAGAAATGTTTCATATAGATAATTGGCACAGATTTTGTTAAAATTCATTAAAGACTTCCTACGAATTGAAATAGTCTCTTGAGATTTTCATCTTGGCAAATTTAAAGATTAAGTTTTGTGATTTCAGGAATGAATTTTCTGGAAATAGTGCGTTTTTTACTCGAGTTATATTTTAGGATGAATCAAGTAAGGCATTGCAATCGAAGAGATGTAAAAGGAGATAAAAATGATCTAAGACAAAGTTGTACCAGTATTTTGTGATTGTTTGCTAGTGGTTTCATGTTATAAATTCAAATTTAATTTACAAACTTTTCAACAGAATATTGAACACAATTATGAGAAATCTCAATACTTAAGGAATATTTCTGAAAACATTTTTTATTGTGCATAACAAGAAAAAAGCAAAATACTAATAGAACTTGCATTTTAACATGAATTTTCAAAAGCCTTTCAATCTATTAAGTATTTTTAATCTTTGCTAAATCATAAACAATACTTTACAATTAGCTATTGCTTGTTAACTTTTGCCTCTTTAAATCCTAAAAAAAAAAGTTTGGGCACTGAAAATTAATAAACCTAGAGAAACAAAGTTTACCTTTTTTTTTCTTCCATTTTTCCTGATTTGGAAATGGAAGCAAACACTGGGTTTTTTTCCTCTTAATTTTAAAGGTTGAAAATCACAATTTATCTTTAAAAAAGATCTTTCCTTCTGATGTTTACTAAAATAATAACAATCAAGTTTAATCCTAAAGTATCACTTTGAATCTATTCTGATTTATAATTTCTTCAAATCCCCAGTGTAAAGATTTCATTTACATGGTAACAAGCATGTTTAAAATGGACAGCATAATGACTAAGAAGTTAAATTGTTTTTAATCAGACCAGCCCAAATCTGCCGGAAAAGGGGCTTTTCCTTAGTGTGGAATAAACACTTTCCTGCAATTGTTAGAAATGTTAAACTTAACCAGAATCTAAATTGATTTTTTTCTGAGTGTAAATTGATATATACATGTACTATGCATATCAATCTTAACTATTTCTGAAATACTTAACATGTTTTTTTTTTCTGTGAAAATACTTAAATGTGACTTTAGGCGGTTCTTGTTTCCTTTGATGTGTTTTTAATTGTTTCAAACAAATTATTTTTGTCAAGACTCTGTGGTTAGGATTTATTCTTACTTTTGTTCCAAAACAAGTTTTTCATATGCAGATAAAAATGCTTTTTTGTTTCTGTAAGATTAGTGAAGAAAGATAGTGAATTTAATAAATAAAACAAAGTAGTTCCAGTAGTTTGCGATTTTACTTGACTTGTATAGAAAAATCTTGCAGTAGAGCATTAAGCATTTTAATTTTTAGGCTTAAAATTGCCAATGATTAATATTTTAAAATAGCTTGGCTGTTTTGTGAGTATGTGTATTTTATAATAGTCATTCAGTTATGTAACTAATTATGAAAACCTTGGCACCCTTAAGAAAAACTTAGAACAAGTTTATTTTGGATTAATTTATACTGTCTATAAAATATTATGCAGAATTTGGGTCCCTGGAATTTATTCATAAGTAGTATTGTCAGAACTTAGTGGTCAGATTGATTCAACCTAGAGCTGCAGTTTTTGCAGTAAGATGTTCAAATTACTATAGACTGAAAAACTGCTTGAATCTAACTGTGTTTGGAACAGATATAAAAGCAGAGAAATAACGTATGTTTTATTGGCCTTGTCATGGAGGTAGTTTTCAAGTGGAAAGGAATTTGTCCATTAGGAATACTAATTGTGATAAAATTTAAAACATTTACTTCTTTGTGAAAGACCTTGAAAACAATTAAAACATGCTAATTTTATAAAGTTTTAAATTAGAGGATTGAACTAAGTTGGGGAACATCAGATTGGCAGACTAAAACTTGGAAATGAGACAACTCTAGGCTATTTATGGAGGGCAAAGGAAAAGCCACTAATTGACAAGTTTTTTTAATCCATCATCGTATTTGGGGGGGAGGGGGAAAAACTGCTGACAACCATAGAAAAGTCATTTACATGTAATAGGAAACATTGTATAGCCCCTAATAATCTTTCAATTTTTGATTATTTGAAAAAGTGTTTATGCATGTGAGAATGCCATATGCAATAAGAGTACTTAGAAGAAAAGAAAAAAAAATCAACTTAAAACTTTATTAATGCCTACTACTATTAATGTAAGGTGATGTAAGTACTGGGTATATACAGAGAAAAGATAAAATCCATCCTATACTAGACTTATTTAAACATTCAATTTTTATTTGTCAATGTTTTTTAAATTGAACATCCTTCTGACTTAGTACACCAGTTTGAATTGAATTTTTTTCCCATTTCAGAAGAAGTGAACAGAATTTGCACTTGAGTGTTCTCAAACTTTCCATTTAATTTGTATTTTGATGTTCCATCGATAATGCAGCCTTTTTTTAAATAGTTGAATTGCAATGTCATGTAATTCATCAGACTATCTTAAGTATTTAACGTATATTGTCACGATTATACTTATTGTTTAATCCAATACTTAGAATCACAATGATGGTTATGTAAAACAACAATATTGCATCCTCTTGAAATTCTTTTCAGAGACGTTACTGTCCCCCACCGCTTAACTCTAACGCAAAAGTGTTGGTTGTTAGCATTATATATACACCTGTACTTACATGTATGTGTGCATAAGCACTCAGAAGAGAAAAATGAAAATCAGAAGCATAGGAAGCTACTTTTACTCTTGCAAATTATAATAACTTGTGATAAAGATATAACTGATGTTAAATAAAAAATCTATTTAGGAACTAAGATTGTTTTTATACAAAAAAACTTTAAAAGTTATAGTAAGAGGAAGAATAGTAACCTATTAGGTTATTAAAAAATGATATTTTTCTTGTTACCCAGGAGGTGTCAGCAGCTGTATAGAAAGTGAAAATCAAAAGGGAAATGCTTTGACAGAATTTATTTTATCTTATAGGTTATAGTAATTCAAAGTATTTGAAGTTGAAGTTTTAACTCCCCTATGTAAAGCAAAAACTGTACATATAGAATATCCATAC